CTGATGCCTGAAGTCTTGAGCGCAAAAGCCAGTGCAGTCAGCAGAGAGATTCCTATTAACTCCACTTGGGTATGAATCAGACCTTTTAAGAGCATCTTATTAAGCAACTGATTAGAAACCTGCCCCTTCTGTTGGATCTCAGTGCCCTCCATCCCACCCCATGCGATTCCTGTGCAGACTGTGTCAACATCTTGCTCTGGCACTTTATCCTCCCACTCTTTCTCTGGCCCTGGGGCTCGGCGCTTCTAAAACCCTCCAGAAGATCTGGGATCCTCCCAAAGAATTTGTTTTTTCTCCTTTCTCATCCCCCTCTTGAAAGCAAAACCAATCGAGAGGAATTGGAAGGGCACAGCCCTTTTGCCTACTTTCCTCCTTGGCAAAATGGAAGGGCAAAAAAAAATACACAGGTTTATAGCCACAAGCAAGACTCTGGGACAGGAGTTCCTGTATGGAGGGAAAAAGTACACCCCATAAAGCAGCCAAACCTAAAAAACTTTAATAAAATCCTAGCAGGAACGAAACAAGAGGCAAATACAACAACAAAAAAAACAGCTCCTGAGGTCAATCAAAGTTCAAGACTTTGAGAAAGAAGAAAATCTGTGTATGTGTGAGAGAGAGGGAGAAGTAGCCATGATTAAGAGAAAGGAGGCAAAAGGAGACAAGATAAATTGTGATTACCTGGTGGAATCAAGACGCTTAACTGACCTGTCTGATTCCTGAGGGGAAACAAATGGAGCCTATAACTTCACACTCCGAAAGGATAATTTGTCCCTGTTTCCTCAGCCCTCACCGGAGTGAGGTTGGCACTTGGGTTTGTGGTGGCTCAAAGAGCATCCTTAGCATGGCACTGGGGAGAGCCAAAGCACATTATTTTTCTTTGCAAGTGCCCTGAGAGGGGTTTCTGACAGATGTGGAGCTCTCTGGGCTTTGTATGCCCTGTCTGAGCAAGACCCTCTTCTTTTTGATGATTTCCCAGTGATACAGACACCTTATGTGAAGGTGTTAGTGTTGCTTTTGCAATCCTTTGACAGTTCCCGTGTTGCTTCCATGAAAGTGTGTGTGGAGTCCAGCTGCAGAGCTGAGTATTGCTGGGCCAGGTGCTTGGCTTGGTCTGGCTTCACCTATGGATGGGACAGCAGCACCTTCCCTGTGATCAGCCTGGAAAATGGGATTTTTTTTTTTTTGTGATCTGTTGAATGGTGAGGTGACCATGGCACAGATGCTTCAGCTGTGTCTTTGCCTCATGCTATCCAGCTAGTCTGTTCCTTTGGTGCAGTAAATTTGGGGGGGGGGGAAGTTAAGGGGGGAAAAGTAGGGCTAAATAAATTGGTGGTAAAGGAATCGGTGGAAGGTAGCTCACACAAACTTTTGTCGTAGTGGTGAAAGTGGTGAAGGAGCCCAGTGTGCTCTTCTGCAGTCTTCTCACTGCATCCTGCACACCTGGTTTACACCACATGCCTAAACTGAGCATTCCCCTGGGGTAAAGCTTGCAAAAATCAGAACAACAAATGACAAAGTAATTGTGAAGCCTCATTTCTTTCTTTGGGGACCTGTTTCTCATTATCTTCTATTTAATTTGTTATTTTGATCTGTATTTTATGCGTGTGGGTTGTTTTTTTTTTTTTTCTGTAATTAGTTCAGAGGTGCTCTTAAGTTAGGATGGTGATTGATGGACAGGTAAGGGAATGGGTGAAAGAACTCTTAGTTTTTGGTGCCTCACTTGAGGTTTTTTTAAGATGGTATTTCCCTGTAATACAGTGCAGCTTATACTTTAATGTTCTGAGCTGCCCTATGTATGTCCTAATGAAGTTTCTTGTTTCTAACAAATAAAAGAAAAGTTGAGGAGGGTATAGGCTCTGAATGTTCCTCCTTTCCTCTTCTTTTACCCACTAAATTTGTCCTTGGTTTTGATACTCTTGGACCAGAGAGCAGTGCAGCCCAGCGGGCTGTTTCGTAGGAATCTAACTCTGCAAGTCTGCAGACCAGCAGGAGCAAGAAATGCAGGTGGGATGATGCGCTCTACCCAGAAATGCCTTGCCTTGTTCTCCAGGTTATACTGAATTTAGGAACTAAAGTCCCTGACAGTGGGAGGTATCTGTAATTCAAAGAGACAGAGGAGTTAAATATTTGTTTGCTGGCTGATTTTTTTTTTTTTTTTTCTTTCTGCAAGTGGGTTTGCAGCATAAAAACCATGAATGCCACTATGATTAGAACTGGGTGGGACACGATTTTCCTATTCA